GAAAGAGCTGAGTGATGCTTGTGCTTTAAGGACCTGCACAAATTGCACTGCCGTCAGGGGCACTGCAGAAAACCCCACCTGCGCCCCAAAGGCTCCGACGAGCTTCACTGGGACCCGAGGCTGGGTTTGACTGTCTCTCTTGCCCCCTCACTAAGAGCTAAACTGAAGACATGGGGAGCCTCCAGGCTCTGGGGCAGGTGCCTAACCAAAACCAACGATTCAACACACACCTCCACTTCAAACGGACATCAGCTGGGATCTCCCTGCATTGCTGAGCAGCTCAGAAAGCTGGCCGACAGTAGTCTTCTGCCAAGCAGCAGCTCCCAATCGAGGCACCTTGGTTGGTGGTGTTCAGAGCCAGAGACAGGCCTGGGAGTGAAGCTGGACCACAAGCAAAATCTTTGGGCAGCTCTTCTAACCCCCAAGGCTGGCTCCAGCACAGATGACAGAGCCAACACTGACCTGTGCATTCAGCTGGACCTCCCTTTTGGCTACACCTCTCCTGCCTGCCCACTTTGTCCCACCATACCTGCCCTGTAACAGCTTCCATATTTGCAACCATTTGTCAGCCCCGCTTGCAGCACTGCTGATTTCCAGCACCCCAGCCACCCGCTCCACGTGCTCGCCGAGTGAAGCCAGGCTCTTGAGGACACCAGGGCCCCCAGCCGATGAACTCAAACCCCACCTTCATCACTCCGACCAGCCACGTTGCCTTTCATTTCTGAAGTTCATTATGTTGGCGAGGGAGGAGAAGAGAGACAGTGAAACTGATTGCCATCGTAGAAAGTTAGTGTTTCCCAAACTGTGGGTTTACCAGCATGACGAAAGGCCACGGCACCTCCCCACCAGCCTTCCCAATCCATCAAATCTACAACCCATCCCTCAAGCCCCTCCTGCGCTGCCAGAGCTGGGGTACTTAGACCAGCAGCCTTGCTCAGCCATCCTCCTCCTCCTGACCGGCCAGGAGCTCTGTGTTTTATCGGTTACTTCACACAACTTTTGCTGTTCTCACACACTGCGCAGGCACAGTCCCATTAACAGGAAAGCAGGAGAGGATGTCCTCCATGGGCTGCTACTGCACAAACCCCTCCTGATCCCCAGCTGTTTGGGTCTTGCTGGTACATCTGCTCTGTTCTGCCGTATCACTGGCAGCTCCTCTTTTCCAGTGTTCTCTCAAGTCTCTCTTTCTGACTACAGTTGCATGCAGGGACTCAGCCAGCCCAGCTACCACCCTTTCTGCTCCAGGACAGACTCCCTCATGCAGAGAGGCAAATGCCCTTTGTCACTGCTCTTCTCCACGCCTCTCTGCCTGCACCAGGTTAAGGCGTTTCAACAACATCTTGCAGCTGCCTATGTGGTCTTGTTCCCAGCCTGCCTGGCACTGTACCGAAAAGACAAATCTTTCTGGAGATGATCTCAAGCAAACTGGAACGGAGGAGAAGCCATTCCGCCTCGCGTACCCCATCACACCTTGCCGGGAACACATCATCAAAGAGCCCAAGGGACAGTTATTTCCTGATTCCCAAAACTGAAAGACAGGCAGGAGTGCTCAGCTGGACTGTTAGCACCTCCCAACGACCTCCAAGCTCCAAGAGACTTAGGAATGAAGGTCAGCCTGGAAGGAAAACTTCTTCTTAGCTTGGACTGATCACTTGTTACTGAAGAAAGCAGCTCTAATTTTGCCTAGGGGCACCTGGACTTAGCAGTGGGTTCTTAAAGACGTGGGGCTGCTTTTAGTAAGGCAAAATTCTCCTGCTCAAATTTTCAGGAACAAAAATGGAGCGATGCAAGCACTGTGGAGTCCTGACTGGGAAAGCCTGTCCTACCAGGATTAGGGTATGCAGACTTCCCAGCATGCTGATGGACCGGGTTTGACTGTGTCTCCCCCAGGCCACGTCCCATGCACTCAGCAGGATGAACGTGCGAGGGACCATGCACAGCTCTCACACTGGAAGACTAGCATCAGTAGCAGCATCTTGAATACAGGTTGTCCTGCTTGTCCTTCTCCAGGTGACTCAGTAGATGTGTGGGTAAGGCCTACAGGAAAGCACCTGGGCTCTGAAGCGCACTGCTTGTTCAGAGATGAAGATCCCATCTGATGACCTAATGTCCAGAGGAGGCCCTGACCCTCTCTAGAGAGAACTGAGCTTCAGGAGGGTCTTCCAAATGTCCTCTCCACCTTGCAATTCTACTTACATGCCCACAAGACATTTGCTTACCATCATCTACATCTACCCTTCACAGTCTGACAGGCTTTTTCACTTCTACAAGGAATTAAATCCTGCATGTGGCCCTTCTCAAACTCTCCTCCCTCCCACTTCTTCAAAGACTCAGTGGGATTTAATCTCCATAGATGTGCGGTCTGGCCTTGTTTGTCTCATCAGGTCTCCTCTGGCAACAGTCACTGTTCCTTATATGAGGGATGATTTCCCACAGAACAGTGATTCCCACCTGAGAAACACGGATGTTTTTCGTAAATGTCAGACTGAAGTAATTTCACAACTGGAAGCAGAGATAAAGCAACGCAGCCCTTTTCCTAGCTATTTTGACAGCATTTCTGTGCAAAGCAACATTAGTTTCCCCTGCTCGTTTCCCGTAACATCTCAGACACCGTCTGTCTCCCTGTGCAACCCGGTGCTGGCAGCCCAGGCAACACAGCAGCTTCCCCTCACTCCGTGCCACCCTTGGGCTTCACCTCCACAACCCTCTGCAGCCATCTGTCCTAAAGCTGTCCTACCCTTCCCTCCATGGCCAAAGGTTCCCAGTGTGACCACTTCACGTCCCCATAGCAGATGTCTCCCCAGCTGTGGCTGCCACTGCTTTCCTATTATGAGCCACAAATCCCCCAACACCAACAGCCATCCGCTCTGCAAACTTTGGTGCCTTTCTGCACTGGATGGTCTGGAGACAAGACCCATCCAGATCCCCCAAAGGTGCTGTCATTCACACAGCTTTCAGGGGCTGAAAATGCAATTTCCAGTGGGTGAAGGAGACAGATGCTCTGCTCTCATCTCTGTGTGAATGCAGCCTCGTGACACAGATGAACCAATAACTAGGGTCCTTCAAACCTGAGGCAGAAGCTTGAAGAAACCCCTGACCTGCCTCTTGTCCTACCTACTCGTGCACTGAACAAAAGCTAAGAGATCCATGCAAGACTACCCATCAGTAGGTGAGCGCTGGTATTTATTGTGCTGTAACAGACAGTGCTGGTTGAAAATGGGCTAGGGTTTTCGCTGTGAATCAAGTGTGGAGGCCGCTCCTGTGAGTCTCCAAGAAGCACGGAGCAGAGCTGAAGGAAGAAAGAGGGGGTGAGAGTCGGGGAAGCGAGTGCAGAAATGTGCTTCCAACTGTATCAACAACACTGCACGTGGGCACTTCTCAGGTGGCAAGGGGTACAGTTCAAGTGTATAACTCATTAATTAAGCAGAGCAGCTAATCTTAGCACTAATGAACTCTAGCTCAGGTAATGTAACATTTAAAATTAACAAATTGGACAGAAGTCATTCACAGTAAAGATTTCCATTCCCGGGTTAGGTGAGAGCTATTGTTATGATTAGATTACTGCCAGCCAGGACCAGAACAGTACACCAGGATAACAGGAAAATAATCATCCACAGGTATCAGCTCCAGCTGTAACAAGACGCGCTGTGGATCTGAATGAGGCGCCGGGTGCGAATGTGGAATCTCACTACTGTGTCAAAACAAACATCACTGCGCGGTACACGTAGAGCAGAGCATGCCGATTCGCCGGGGTGGTACCGACCACTGCTCGGGGGCTCGGGGCGGCGGAGAGCAGCGATGCAGCAGAAAGTCACTTGCTCTTTTTCTCCCCCTCCCTCCTTTTAAAAGTCACGGGCTATCACCAGGGCACTGCAGTTCGATTCAAAATTCATCTTCAGAGCTGTCAGCTAAGAGCATGACTCGGTCTTGCATGCTGTTAAACTCCCTCTGCTAGGGGAAGAAAAGAAATATTGAAGAGCTCCGCATGCAAAAAAAGAAATGAAGAGCATTTGGATCCCCCCCATACTCTTACCAAGAGGTCCCAAGCGCTTCAGCCCAGACAAACCTTAGCCAGGCTGCACTCAATTTACAGCCAAAATGGTTAACAGGAGAGTGAGTGGGATTGGGGTTTTCCTTTGCAGCTGCCATACCTTTCTTTTATGTCTCTTTGAGCCATTTCTCCTTCGGCGATTCATAATCTTAATGCTGTAGAGTGCTCCTAGGATAAAGAGGGCTCCGGCTATTCCGACTCCTACAGGAACCAGCATCCCCGACATGTATCCTGCCTACGGGGAGAAGAGACAAGCAGAGCAGCACTCGCAAAACCATTCTTTCAGAGTCGCTGTTCACCAGCCTAGGACTGCAATATATCCCTACGTTGCTTTCATCAAAGTTTTTACTGTATTTGAATCCCTCTCACCCGCCTGCATAGGACGAGCCTTGCTTCCAGGGTTGCTTAAGCAAGCCCCCAACCAGTCCCACTCCAGGACCAAGCTGGTAACCACCACGGCTCACTCACCGCCAGCTTTTGCTAACAGATACTGCCTTGTGACAGCTGAGACATCGCCGTGTTTGCCCACCTTTAGGAGACCAGACAGTTTGGGTGTGGAGTTGCAAGTGCTGGGGTGAAGCGTCCGTCAACACGGGTGCACGCGTAAAGGAAAACCCCGACTGCCACAGGCAGGCACTCCCCAGCCACAGCAGAGACCTGCGAACTCCTCCGAGCTCCCCAGGTACCGCCAGCACAAACCAAGGCACAAGCACAGGTCTGGCCATGCTTGACAGAGCCCAATCCGGAGAGCCAAGTGCTGTCGTCACGCTTTTTGGCACGACACGGGACTGGCAGCGTGGCACCGAGCGGTGCGGTGACGAGTGACCGTCCCACAGCCCCGGGGCGGCCGAAGCGGGCAGAGCAGAGCAGAGCGAAGCGGAGCAGAGTGCGGTGCAGGCAGCGGAGCCAGCGTGCGAGGGCCACTGGGTGAGAGGGCAGGCGGCAGCGGGGAGCGGGCAGGGTGGGCAAGGAGCTGTTTTTGGAGAACGGCTGCACTGCGAGGCAGGGACACTGACTTCCGTCGTGGGAAGCAGACGGGAAAGGGACCCAGCATTCTCCTGGCCAGCTCTGATTGCTGGAGGGTGTCTCACCGCGGCCACACTGCTAAACAGACCTCCAGTAAAGAGTATTACACAGCTCCCATGCTTCCCAGAGACACGCTGGCATGGGAAAGCAAGTGCTCTGGGACAGTAATGTCCTGTCTCAGCTCAGGGACGGCAGAAGCTGCTCCCAACACCAGCAGTTGGGTCGCTGACGGAGCTGAAATGCAAAGTCAGGCTGCACTCACTTTTGCAGGCAGAAGCAGCAGTTTGCCCTCGCCCTGCCCAGCCCAGCCCGAGCCTCCTCGGCTTCGTACTCAAAAACTCTGAACCAAACACTTCTGCTTTGCGTGGGAAGGGGTCATTTGCATGAGCAGGACAATGACGTAGAGGGAGGGCACGCACACCTTCAGCTGGCCTTAAGGGAAGCACAGCAAACGTAAATCAGCTCTGATTCAATAGCTATGATACGTATGCTTGCATTACCCAGTAAAAATATATTAAACATGAGTAATTTTAAATTACACATTTAAAAACTTAAAATTACACATGCAAAAACTTAAAATTACACATTCAAACATTTAAAATCCTTTGGAAAATATTCCCAAGTGCTTGTTATTTTATATTTTACTGTTTGAAATTAAAATTAACCCAAGTTTTAAAGTGCCAAAATGTTTCAGCATCCTCAGCTAATTCAGGCTGGGGGGCTCAATGGAGTGAGGGAGGCAGGTACAGCCTGGCTCCCTCTCGTTAGCACTGCCTTCATTCACACTGCAGCAACAGGGTCCTCTGCTGTGGCACTACAGCTTTACCCTTCGCCATCTGCAAGCCCCCAGAATAGATTTTACACCTGCCAAGGGACACATGCACAATTCAGAGGACTATGAGACAGCTCTTAGCAAGCCTCAGTCCACTGCTTCCAACCACCCATCTTCATCTGCATTCCCAAACTGCAACTCAACAACACATTAAATTACACTTAATTGCTTTTCTTCCATAATCCACTGGGGGGGCAGCTATTTTGTATCCGCTACCCTGGCTTTGTATGCATACCTGGAGAATGAAAATAACTGCGTTAATCTAGGGCAGCTACAGTGCTAACAAGGGCTGGTTTGCTCTCCCAAACCCCTCCAGATCCTGCTCGGTGCTTTAAATAGTAACAACTTCATGCCTGGATCCCGAGGCTTGAGGGATCCTCAGCTGCGTCGTGCAGGTTCCCTGAACGCCCTCCCAGAACAGCCAGCCCCGCTCAGCACATGGGCTGGAGGGGAGCTGCCTGCCTGCACCCCAGTTCCCCAAATACGAGGTTAGTGAGAATACAGCTAAACAACTGTACCTCTGTGAGGCAATTAAGGTGCCTTAATTGGGTAACCTAATTAGTACGGCATGGGTTTTTCTATTTCTGGAACTTTGCTGCTGGCATGGGGAACAAGGGGAGACTGGAAATGGCTTTTTAGATGCTGCCCAGGAGAGTTTCTGTATCAGAAATCGCTGGGTTTACTACAGTGAACTCTCTAGCCCATGTGCGAGCCTTCATCATGCCTGGCCAGCCCATGCCCTTTTACAGGCTTCCCCCAACAGCCAGGCCAACCATTTCTACCCCAAAAGCCTGCAATGTGAAGCAGGTCCAGGACCTGTTCTCCTAGACCTTCCATGTCACACAGCCCAACTCACAGAATCACAGAGTAGTAGGGGTTGGAAAGGACCTCTGTGGGTCATCTAGTCCAACCCTCCTGCCAAAGCAGGGTCACCTACAGCAGGCTGTAGAGGACCTTGTCCGGGCGGGTCTTGAATATCTCCAGAGAAGGAGACTCCACAACCTGCCTGGGAAACTTGTGAGGGCTTCTGCACTTGCTTGATAGGAAACCCCATTTCACAGGCCAGTCTGAAGCCACGTTTTTCCCCCTGGCCCATGGGGAAGATGCAGCTTCTTTACAGATCCTAGGGATGCTTTTAACACACCCGATTCATGACCATGACCTTCCTGGCTCCACTGAACTTTGAGACAACAGAGGGTTTTAGAAGAACCTTGTGCCCATTATTCAGCATGCCAAATGCAACATTTGCAGAGTGTTTGCAGGAGACCGGACATAAATCTGCCACTGACCCGAGCTCCTGGTCCCATGTTCCCCACACCCTCCCCTCTCCCAGCAGGGCAGCCCTGATGCACACAGGAGGACACATCTCTCAGAGACAGGGCCATCATGTGCCCGGATCCTCTGCTGGATGGAGGGATTGTAAAATAGAGAAGACAGGGCTCTGCCGAGGGCAAATGAGAGGGGCACATATTATGACTGGTGCTGCTAAACTCAAAAAGGAAGAGGAGGAAATGGGGTGAGCAGGTTCATTTGGGAGTGACTTGCTACACCAGCATTTGGTTAGGGGTGGGGGAGTGGTTTTTGCTGGGCTTTTCTAAGGCAAAAGGTGATCAAGGTGAAAGATCTGCCTCAATACATCTGTCGTTCCCCAAAGGAGGGAGATGGCTCAGGGCCGATTCTCTCTTTCAAGTGGACACTCGCAGATCCCCAGTTATACCAGTGCTTGTGCTGGGCACTACCATGCCGTCCAACATCTACCTGCAAGAGGTTCAGACCCTCCAGAGCAACCCTGCTGGAGACTGAACCATGCACTCCCTCCTCTGCAACAGGGAAGGACAGAGGTAGCCAACAAGGTGCCAAGAGGAAAGAAGTGAAAGCTACGGCTTCAGTGAGAAGGCACCTGATGCCCCCGAGCTTGTGTTGTGCTGGCTGGGGTAGGTCGGGCATGAGGAGGTGACCTGTGCATGCTGCATTCACTCCAGGCACTCCACCAGTCTTGGCATCTGCTTTTTACCTTTGTCGGGAAAACCATTCTCTGTCCTTTCAGCATTCGCTCTGGCTGAATCCCAGGCCAAGGTGCTCTGCTATGAGCATAGACCACACTAGACATGCCTCCTTCCTATTGTAGGCAGAAAAGCAACTCAGCAAGGGCTGGACAGAAACCCACCTTAAAACCTTCCAGTCCCCAGCCCTGGAAAACAGATACCCAGACCCCATCTATCTGTTCAGACTTGATGGCAAGGTGCTGCTGAAATTTGGTGGGGACCACGTGGGAAGGCAGGGCTCATCGGGTGACAATCTGCTCAAGCTTAGAGATGCATCTTCAGGGGCTGGAGTTTCCTATCGAGTCATTATTCCTTGTGGTGGGTTTTTGCCCATTAACTCTGATCCTACTCAAGAATTGAACTGTTGAGTCACCAAATGTTCTTGTCTTAAAACACTACTGTCACCTCATTTCTAGTTTCATGGCCTTGCTGTCATCAACACACCATTTGGAAGGTTTCACAGCCATTTCAAAATGTTAATACTTGTCCTATGGCAGTAGAGCCTAAAAAGCCATCACTGCCTGTGGCTGGCACAAGTCCTGCTTCCATGTACCACCACCCTGTAACACCAGGCAGAAAAGACCAGGGTCTGTTCTCTTTTCAGTCTTCTTGTGTTTGCTTTTTCCTTCCAGGAATTTGCAGCTCTTCTTGCATGTGGAGGCAGGAAAGGTCTCGTTCAGAGGCAGTGACGTGGCATGCAGCTTCTCACCAGAGAAGATCACCAGATCCTCTTGGTTTGGATCCACAACCAAGATTGGGACTCAGAGAAAAGGGGTGGAGGTAAGTTAGAGGGCAACAAAACAAGTAACCCAGGTAATCTGAAGACAAGGTGATTTTCCAGTGCAGAGAAGCCTATCAAATACCACTGTCCCTCCTCCTAGTCTTAGTTACTACTCATCAGGGACCTTATCATGGATTTGCACCACTAGATACACAGCAGCATCTGGTCCATTGCCTCTCAGAGAAAATTTTAAGCCCCTTCTCAATTGTCTCTGTAGAGATAATGAACTGCACTGACAAGACTTCATTCCTGCAAGTAAAAATGTTTTTGCTTTTAAAGTAATTGAAACACTCAGCCTCCTACCTTATCTTTCAGCTTCTCCATCCAGCTTCTCACTGAAAAACAAGACAAAAAAGCTGTAATCATGTTACTTATGTTATATGAATTAGTAATGAATGATAATGATAGTATTAAAATAGACACTAATTAAGTTGACAAGCTGATAACACTTTTCATTAGATTTCCTCTCTTCTCATTCATGAAAAAAGGCAAATGCAGCAAATCAACACGAGAAACTCTTCAAGCGAGTTGGCAGGCAAGAAGCTTGCTTTTGCCTGTGCAATTCACATCTTCAGAGTGATTAAAAAAGGAAGATGAAAAACAGTATTTGAGGTTGTGGGTTTTTAACCAGCACTTCTCATACACACACTGGGATGTCTGACAGGGAGAAAACCTTCTAGCGTGGCTATCCCCTTCCACTGGCCTCCTCCATATAGAGATTCTTCCCTCTATTTGGCATAGCCTGTAACGATGCCTAAAAAAGCATTATTCCCTGTCTTTCATTCCTTTGATTTTCTGGAAGCAGGCACTGCCCGCTCTGGGAAGTCACCAGATAACATCGGAGGACTGGGACAGCACTGGAAGTGCTAAATTACTAAACCATGTAACTTTATACTGCCATCACATAGATTTTCTTTTCTTAACAGTTAATGTAAGTCCCATGAAATATGAGACCCAAGAATTAGAAGTCTTTAATGGCATGTACTTTGGAGTGAAATATTCAGCTAATCTCGAAGAACTGCCAGCGCCTAGCAGCGGGTGCACGACTCATTAACTCCACAGGCGGCTGGACTCGTCTGCACTGCACCGGAGACAAAATGCTCAGCCTTTCAGAGATCCGCTAATATTTTACCAAATTCCTGCTCATAGGTAAGAGGCAAGCAAACAGATAAATGCTGGGGGGGTTTTGGGGTTCGGCAACCGTGTTTTACACCCTGGTCAAGGATCCCCGTGTCTCCAGGAGGACAACACTACAGGCACGAGGAGACTCCCGGATGCACCTCCCTTCTGAGGGATATTTCACCCAGGATGCATTAGATCCCAAGTACAACACACCGTTTACAGAGTCAGGCCCTATTTCCAAGCCTGCTTTCTTATAGAAGCTTCCTTCAAAGCTTGCATTAGCAGTATTAGAGCCTGCACATGCACACACACCACTCCGGGTAACCGTCCTAGTGAAATGAGAACCTGACTGTGAGCAGGGAGGGTGCAGCAGCAGGGCCATCAGTAAATGGCCTTTTTATGTCTCAGATACAATATAGAGAAGCACAGGGGCTAGGCAATAGTAAGACTCATCCCAGACTTCAGCATCACTGAATTAAACTGCATCGTTTTAACAAGTTCCAAGAGATTTGAATACTCTCTTTAACACTTTCCAAACAGAAGGATCCCAAATTACCTAGAGGTGGAAAAAAGTGTGAAACAGGCACAGCAGCGTACACGCAAACTCACCTGTCTCTCATGGGAAGCTAAGAAATAAAATGAGTTATCCAGGAGACACAATCAGACACCCACAGAACTAGAAGAGGATGAGAGCTTTATTGTTATCAACTCTTCCCACCTTTAGTCTTGACCTGCATGGACTAAGCTGTAGTAAACTCATTTTATGGAAGTGCCATCACCACCATCCTCTGCCAGTCCAAGCCTGCATGCCTTGAATTTCACTCCCAGGGGAATATCCGATGAAGGAAACACATGGTTCCCCTGGGCTAGGCTTCTCAGCTGGGTTTCTAGATGTAACACTAAACCAAACACTAGGTATAAATGTCACTTAGATTTTCAAGGAGAGCCCCTGGGCCGCTGCCCTGGTGATGGGCATAGGAGAGGCGAGACATGTGGAAAATTCTGTTTAAAAACACAAATATTGTAAATCACAGGAATTAATCCCAAATTTCTTGCCAAAGAGCCTTCTCATGACTTCCATGTTTAAGGATGCTATTGTGCTTTACTCCAGGCTACCAGGAGGAGCAGTGACGGTGACTCACAGTCACACAGTGACAGCTTCAAAACCACAGTGCGCATTACGAAGCTTTGGGCTGATGTCCTCCATGCACATCCAGACAGCCACAAGTGGACACCCGGTGCGTGCACACAGCCGGTTAAAGCCGCCATGATGCTCGGTTGGCCCCACCACAAGCTAAGCACAAAGCCTATTTTTGCATGTCTTTCACAATAATTATACGGGATCAGTGATCTCGTCAATATTTGACCCACTTTCTTGCAGCTGAACAACGGTGCCTCTAAAGCAGCAATTAACTCCGGAGTATTTCTGACGAAACATAGGCAGGGGCTAATCTAATAATATTCTACTACCTACTTCCAACGAGCACAAATTCTGGCTTCATTTCCCTCTGGTCTACAAAACGACAGCAGCACGTCCATTGGGACCCACAGGCACTACAGTACAAATCTTTATTTGCTATTTATACAGTTGCTTATTATTAAAACCGACCTTGTTTTCAGCCACGTACAGCACATGTCAGATGCCTTTGTGAATCAGCCTGAGCCACAGAAAAAACAACACAACATGGTTTCTTCGCAGACTGGACGCCTCTCTGTGAAATGCTCTAATGCAGCCACAGCCTGGCTGGCTGGCTGAAAGCCGCTGACCTGTGCTAGAGGAAAATAATGGTCCCAAATTACACATCATTACACATCATTATCCATAATTAATATTCTGAACTTGGTCTTGGAAGAGGAACATTGTGGATGGCATCTTCTCATAAAAACGCAACACTCTCCGAGAACACTAGGTGACTTGCTAATGAGGTCAAGCAAATAATTAGCAACAAACACTCTAATCCATGTATTTTTCATCATATTCTTTTTTTTTTCCTTCCCTGATCACTGAATGTGCTGAACAAATGACAACAGTCTCTGGGTGTGAAGTAACTAGCGTCTGCAGTGCTGGCTCGTCTTCCATAGCATTTTAAGCACGGTGACTAGTTCAGACTCTCTGCCTCGGCTTAATTTTGATCCCTTGGTTTCATGGGGAGCTGAGTTAGATGGGTATGGAGCACTTCTGAAAATTACATCAGCAATCTGACATTTCCTCAGTGATTCATATAATGTCTGCATCTCTGCAAATTAATTTTAAATAACATACAGCTTAAGATTAAGCAGGTCAGGAGCATGGAGGAGGAGCACGGTTGTCTGGCATTGGCATCAGAGCAGCCTGGGACAAATTCAGTTACAGATGCACTGTGCTATTTTTAGTCATTTTCACCCAGCTTTCCCCTTCAAAACGTGCAGTCAGCTATCAAGAAGCCACGGTGCCAACCGTGTAAGCTGACTTGCAGAGGTAAGCAGCAGCCCGCGGTGCCTGCCTGGCCCCTCCTTGGAGGAGCCCAGTCCAAATCGACAGCGAAAAGCCCCACGAGCAAAAAACTTTCTGGAAGTTCAGGTTTCGCCAGATGCAGGCTGAAGGCTCAGGAGAGGGGCAGCAGGTGACAGCTGAGGGTCTGCACTGTACGGCACTGGATGCTCAGCGATCTCACAGCACCCTCAGCTTACGGCCCTGCAAAGTCTTGCTGCAAACCACTCACCTGAATGGAGAGCGGACGTTAACTGAGGACGAAGATCTGGAACAAGCATACAAAACATTTACTAAACAGTAACTCCCATGGCTACTGTGCATCCCCACCACGGAAAAAAGTGGGTCCACAGGTACTGTTATTAGCTGTGCTCTCCTTCCCCACACCCTCATCAGGGGCCTTCGTTCACAACCCCACTTCTTGTTGCTATTCAGAAGACTGTCCACCTTCAAATAAATTCTTCTTCAATGGTCAGGTCTCTCGAACCGCCTTTTTGTTCTGGAAGCTGCAGGGTGCTGGGTGCCAGAGCCAGGCTTTGCCTTTAAGCCTCACCATAACGCACTGTCAAATCTCTCACCACAGGCTTTCCCCTGCTTCTCTCACTACCCACCGCTGAAATCAGGAGCACAAGTCCTCTGGGCTTCATGCTTTGCCAACTTTCAGTAATCCTAATTGCCTAATTATCCACTCCAATGCAATGATAAAGCTGCTTAATAATTCTGTTCACTTCACATTCATTCTCTCCCTTTCCAAACAAGAAAATGCAAAGACTCTACCTTCTGGTGGAGATTTTGATCAATAATTCATGCCCTCCTGCCACCAGTTCTGTCTCCTCCTTCCCCTCTTGGATACTCTGCTGCTTTATCTTGTCAGTTTAGTTTCATCTTATCAGCTTGTTTTAATTATATTCCTGTTTTTAATCATGTTCTAAAGCAATTCCGGTTTTCCATGGCAAAACCAGCACCTTATCCCTCTGCCCTGTGCATCTCGCTGTATTTTCAGATCCAGCATTTACATCTTCATTCCAGAACTTCATCTTGATACTGATCTGTACATCCAGCCCCTTCTCTTTTAACAATTCTCCACCATGTCCACCACACCAGTGGTGAAAGTGTGGCACCCAAGCTGCTCTAGACTCTCCAAAGCGCAGAGAAAAGGACTGAAGGATGGTTTTATAGTTGAGCTGGAGGTCAGGTAACCTGACTCAACCACTGCATCTGTAATTCCTTAAATGCAGTAGGCTGAGAGACCTGCCCCGAGCTTCATTCTGAGAAATCAGAAAATACCAGTCACCCTAGTACGCTCAGGGCATGAAAAGTTTTTAATCTAACAGCTGCTGTTAATCACTTTCATGTCTGTCTGAAATTAGACATGTCCCCATCTCAGGAACCAGAGAAGCTGTTTAAGGATCAGGCTCCGCTGCAGCAGATGACAGTCCACACCGCAAGCAATCCATGTGTCAGCCAAGATGCAGGAGGCAAAGATGGATGGAGCCAAGGAGCAAAGAGAGGAGCTCTTTCTGAGCACTGGCAGTGCCTGCTGCGGATGCTGGGCTTGCTTCGCCTTCCTCCGGCCAGGACAAGGCCTTCGTCCCACCCACGGCTACAGTTGTTGTAAGGCAGGAAAAGGCCGGCTTGGCTTATTTGCAGGAGTGTGGAAATTGTAAATATGTAGTGAGGAGGCTTTGTGTATGCCACGGCACAGTGAAACGCAAATGCACCTCACAGCTGACGCAGCTCAGC